GCCCCCCCCCCCCCCCCAGTACCCGCTTTTTCTCAATCCAAGCTATGCGAATAGAATGTCAAGCGGGTCAAGAAACCGATTGCCATACGAAATATAAAAGAAAAGAGAACTGGCGTGCCATTCACAGAAAACAGATGGAATAACATTCCAATTCTGATTGGCAGGTCAAACAAGATCAGCGTCAGAATAGAGCCGGTTTGTGTTTGTTGATCACGGTATGAACTTTCCGCAGTGAATAGCTTAATCAGTTGACGGGCACTTACGAAATCGCTGGTTTATGTGAAGTGGACTGACTCACCGGTTCGATCGTTGATACCTGTTTTGCATGTGACAGTCAAAATGAGCACTATTGGACAAAATCGAGATTCTGACCGTGTGAAAGTTTCCATGTAAAAAGGGGTTCGATTATTAACCACAGGGTTTGTGGTTCGAGTCCCGTAGAGGACCGTAAAATTGTGCACGATGCTGATCAGCAATCAAGAGTATTTAGATTTGTGCTATATTATGTGGTGCATCAGTGATATTGGGAAACAAAATTTTCCGGCTATTATTTTTCAAACAGTTACAGATCGATTAAAAGGTCACTAAGAGATGTACCATCATATTGGTTGAAAATACCCACTACGGTGTGATGAAGGACGCGGTCAGACGAGAGTCATTTCGATCACTATTACACATTAAGAGTGGCCGATTTTGAAGTATGACAGGTGGTGGTGGTCAAGATCATCACAATTTTGACCCGGAAGTCCCGGGTTCGAACCACTCCACCACCGCCCATCTTCTCCTACCTGCTGTATATACGCAGGCAGCCTTCGTACGGCCGCGGCCCTCTTCTTGAAAGTTAATTGTACATTTGTATATTTAATAAATAGTCTTGGTTATATGGATTAAACTCCTGGAGACATCATTATTAATTCCCCACTAGTTAAATGCATTTATAAGCACGGGAAATATTTGTGATGACCGACACAAAGAGCACCACATTGGACAGAATCAGGAGTTCAAATCCTTACCTCTGAACTACGCGGTCAACCGTCATCACCTTGTGCGAACGGTTCAGGTAATTCAGGGTAGCCAATTTGGAATAATTTATGCAGTCGAGTGTTCACAGATACCACAAGCACTGTTGATGGTCTTACGGGGTATGGATTTCACTCCCGAGGAGATCAATGCGCGCTCTTTGTCGGTTCCCACAAATCTTTCCATTGTTTACAAATGCACATCTTTGTGTGAACTGCACCGAATGAACAGTATTCACTCGCTTCACTGGATCGATGTGTCCCAGGGTCGAGAGATCTCACATTGAATGAGATAGATTTCAATGTTCGAATGCAGTATAGTTCACTCAGTCAAGGTGAGTTGTATGTGATCAGAGCTCAAATCGATCCGACCGAAACTCACTCGCTCATTCGGATGTCACGTGAGACTGGGCATGAAGCACGAAATAGAATGGTCTACAGAACGCAGGCAAATTGAGAGAATAGATGTCTGGCTATGCGTTACTATTGTACGCAAGTTATCCTATAGGAGTTTACTGTTTGATGACTTCGACAAGTTGTCTGGCTAGATTAGATTGCTTACTAAAGAGTACTGCCTGAGTAATCCTAGACTGTTGCTCAACTGTATTGAAATTCACCGCACAGCTCCGAAATTATGAATGTTCGTTCGATGCCATCAATATCCTGTTGTAGCACATCACATGTACACTCACTGTGAGAGTGTTATTACGAATAATGTAAAGTGTCTATGCGTCACTGGCTTCTCTTCAGAAGGACACATGTGAAACTGTATTGGAATAGAAAAAAATGATGGACAGTTGAGGAACAGATGGCTTATTCGCAACTAGTTTGGTTTGCCACACCAAACCTCAAATAAGAAACCAATTGGATCGGTTGAAGTTGGACCGGTGTGTTGCAATGAAAGAATGAATGCTCTAGACACCAAGCCTGATCACATGACGCACACAAGCACACACACACAGCGATAGATCAGTATTATATTTTTCCATAAAAAACGGCATATTGCATCACTGAGGTGGTAATCGGCATACAGGCTGATGACTTACGTTTGCTTCTGTTTTCGTGAACGCCACAGCAAACAAACCATTGAACCATACACACACACACAGACAGAGAACAGAATCATCACATAATCAATAGATCTGGTGATGTGGTTGGATTCACAATACCATCAGAGTGTATCCCGCTCGTCTCACTGAATGGTGTGAATTTGTGCTGTGGTCCGGATAGTAACTGTTTCGATTACAGAAGTCGGATTTGGTCCATTCCCGTCAAGGGTTCCCGATCACCTTTCCCCTAGGTGTATATATATATATATATATATATCAATGGTCACAGAGATAAACATTTCGACAACTGGACAACCGGTCCAATGGTCCTCATTCCTTACTGGAGAACGGCGACATTGGGACCGGTGACTGTCTTACCACACCACCAAAATGCACATAAATCTACTGGAGAGCTATGGTCGCACTTTTCTCCCCTATAGCTAGTCAGTCATGATTCACTATAGGGCCCA